GCATTTCAGGCCAAAACTTAAACAATTCCTTCAATGTAAAAAAAAAAATAATAGATGTCAATGTTCTTGTAGATGTTACCATAAAGAGTAACTTAGTCTGTAGAGTTCCCTCTTCTTAATGAGGAGGTCGCACATTTCGAATCTCAGTCGCTACTGATATAAATCGATACAGAAGGGGTCCATGAGCCACAAAAGTCACCTGAGTATCTTGTACATGCTCTTCGTCATTTAATTATACATCTTGTGACCCGCCTAACCCCGATTGGTCCTGATTTGAAAAATCTAGAGTTTACACCTCCTCCTCATGCTTCCTCTTAAGTTGCAGATTTTTAGCCCAATTATTCTTGAGACGATTGTAATTTAAAAAAATAATAAATTTAATGTAAATTTAGATTTCCTTATGTGGCATACTACTACCTTCCAGGGGCAGGATTTTCACAATTTAGAAACTACATTGTCTCACAATGCTTCCACTTAATTTCAGCTTTCTGGTCCAGTGGTTCATGAGAAGAAGCTGTTTCAGATATATTCTTTGAGAGAATTGGATTCCAAATTGTTGTAACTCTGTATTCTCGGGATAAGCATTTGAACATTTAAGAATCTATACAGCCCATATAAAAGTTTCAGCTTTTCTGACTAAAGGGGTCTTCGGAAGAAACATCGTTAATAATCACACCCTATTAAGTCTTTTCTTGATCACATCCCCTAGGAAGGGCCTTGTCCCTTTATCTCAACAATTTCAACTTCTCTTCAGCCAAGGACGTTTTGTACAAATTGTGCTTAAAATTGGCCCATTGGTTCAATAAGTGAAAATTTTACAGACAGAATTACAAGTGACGGATGATCTGAAAAGCAGACTTGAACTAAAAGATGTACATTTAGCAATTGCCATGCGCCCGATCTTTTGCAGTGAGGAGAGTTATGGATCCTTCTGATGAGACATTTAAATCCTAGGCCCCTTATAAGATTGATTGATTGATTGTATATTGTTTAACGTCCCTCTTGAGAATTTTTCACTCATATGGAGACGTCACCGTATGCCGGTGAAGAGCTTCAAATTTAGACCTATACTCGGCACTCAGGGCCATTGAGCAGTGAGGGTTCTTTATCGTGCCAGCGCCTACCGTGACACGGGACCTACGTTTTTAAGGTCATATCCAAAAGACCCGTGACTTTCACTTCTAGTGCCGAGCGCTTGGCGAAGGAACAGTCACTACCTTTGTTTACGTCTTAGGTATGACGCGGCGCCGCCCCTTATAAGAACAGGTGTTTGCAAGATAAAGATCCTTCACTGCCCAATTGCAATGACACTGGGTACCAAGATGAGGTCAAATTCGTTTTAAAAAGGTTGGAATTTGAAACACATCATTGGTATATGATGACATCTCTACATTAATAAAAATTACTCGAAGGGGACGAAAAACAATAAATAATCAGTCAATTTTGTACATGTATATGTTGTTCAAGATGAGCGAGTGAAATCAAATACACCTGTTAAATTAAGCTGAATCCCATTTGTAATCCCCATGTCTCGTATAGCCCTTGCAGCTCTCGAATCTATGAAATCTCTACCACAGCATGTTTGGCTAATCCATTGATCACTGGTAGTCCAGTCTTTCTTCCAATACAAGTCATTTCGAAATTTGGTAACTGCAAATCGTCCAGACGACCGTCAGATATACCAGCCTTTTACCCAATCAATTCAGTTGTACAGTAGAGTCTTTAAGACTACCATATCTCAATATACGAGGGCCGTCCAAAAATTACGCGGACAAGCTGCACAGAAAAAATATTTGACGACATAACCGGGCAAAATGTTGCACATAATATAAAAGAATCTTTACTTATATGGTATACAAAACTTCAAATCAAAATATTGTAAATCGGTATCAATTTTGAGTGATTTTTCAGGACATATCATTTAGTCACGGAGCAGCAAAATCTTCGACGTCACAGACATTATAAAAAAATATGTGATTGAGCTTTCATTTTCTCAACATTTCCCAAGAGTACCTGTACAGTTTGAGTCGACATATCTACTCAACATCAAAACTCCATTTCTTGTCAAGCTTTAAATCTATTAAACAAGTAAAGAATATTCTTTTTTTTCTTTTAAAACAAAAAAACTGCAGGTATTTATAAAATATAGTGTGATATTGATCACTCTCAATCACGTTCTTTACATTCCAGATAAAGTTTTCGTCGATAATCGGCCTCTTCCCGTCCTCCCGTATAGCCATTTTACAGAGGTCTAATGGTCCAAAATTCCTATTTACTATTTGTGGACGAATGTCACGAACACCCTAGTTTACTACATGTGTTATTATGCATATTTTGGATCTATCTTGGCGATATCTCGGGCATTACCTATAATTTAACTAAAGTCTTGCGCCGTCAATTCACGAGACGTCATTTTCACAGTCGTTTTCACGGGGATCGTATCAGAGGAAAATCACTATAATTCCATTAGTACTTCAAATATCACGCCAGAAATCCAAATACATAATAATAGATCAATTTAAAGATACATTTGAGAAAATTGTCGAAAAATATTGCGAATTATAGAAAATAAATGAGTTAAATTTTGGATTCCGCATGCTTTTGCTTCAATTTTTTTGTCGTGCTCCGTACCTCTAAATCAGCGATATCAATATACCGATAATTTAAGTATAATTTTTTTAAAATACAAAAATTTTGCCCAAAATTTATTGGAATCTTTGAGATACATATATCTGTGAAATTTCATAACTCTATGACGTCCGTAAAAGTAAATAATAGCACAGTCCGCGTAATTTTTGAACGGCCCTCGTATATCTAAGAAACTGAACGTATTGCGAATTTTAAAGACACATTAATAAAGTCAGTAGTAGATATACATATCATAACTATGAAACAATGTTTATGGTTGTTTACGTGCGTTTAACCATCACGGGTGTACAGATATTTATCCAAAAGTAATACCAAAGCTTCTTTAAAATCTTTAATGCTCGTATACTAATGTTCGTCACAAAATATAAAAAAAAAACACCTGCACCTCTCTCTATTTGATTTTTTTTCTATGAAAACCACATAATAATCATGTTTGAAAAATTGGAATAAGAGACCCATAAAAAATGGTAAAGAATAAATTAACAACGTTGAAACGTTTCCCTTCCCTTATCTAAGCAAGTTTATCTGCAGCACAGACTTACGCCAAAGGGAAGGTATTTAGAGAAAAAAAATCTTTGCTTTTCATTCAATTAATATACCTGTATAAGTATGGTACGGGAAGTTAAGATAACAACCATAAAGGATACGAGATGAGGGTAGTCTTTACTGGTGTAAAATAATTCAGCAATGATAATATACAAAATTTAAGAAGACATGCTAAATAAATCGACGAATTCAGTGTACAGAACCTGGCAACTTTACTTTACCCTCACAATGTAGATTTAGGTGGTATATTTACGCAATCGTGCGTGCGTGTTTTCGTTTGTGGGTTATGGCCTTTGCGAACTGGATGTGACATAATTTGCATCGGGATCTATACTGAATGCTGCCTTGATTTAAAGATATTTTATATCCGAGGAGGTTGTCTGATATGTTTTACTCTTTTTTACTTTTATATACTTGTATTTAGAGAAGGGTGCGGATTTTGCAAAGTGTTTTCTTTCATTTTGAAAATATTTGAGAATTGAAGTCTTGTAATATTCCATGAAAATTAAAAAGGATAGGAGAACGTGGTACATGTATCAACGGGTTGGCATTTTAAGAAATCAGCTTATTTTGCAACAGACAAGAAATGTGTTTTGTTAAAGACATTTCCTGTTGGAATATACATGTAAGACTGAAAACAAATTTATATCCCCGATCATCTCTTCCACGTACATAGGCAATTAAGCCACATATGATCCACATATGCATTGCCTTTCATATGAGGATCATATGTGGATCATATGAGAATCATGTGTATATACAATCATATGAGAATCATATGTGGCAAATCATATGAGAATCATATGATTACACATATGTAAATCATATGAAGTAATATACATATGATTATCATATGAAAGATCCTGCATATGAGAATCATATGAATATTCTGACAATAATCATATGAGAATCATATGAAACTGATCATATGAGAATCATATGAAACAATGTTCAATAATTTGTCCTTGTTATACTCAGGTAAAATTCATACGAATGTTTTGACAGTGATCATATGAGAATCATTTGAAACGGTGATCATATGAGAATCATATGAAACAGTTTCACTTATCTGTCCTTGTTATACTGAAGTAAAATTTTAATTTCAATAATATATATCAAAAGATAAATTTAAATGTACATTAATTCAAAAGAATTTATTAGTAATTAATTATATGTAAAGTTCTACTCTGTTTACCCTACCACCCCCCCTTTCCTTCTAAAAAAACCTTTCAAAATTTTTTTTTTCTGTTATAATGCATTTCCCAGACAAAATAGATAAAGAATAAATTAATTTGCTTTTCATTTTAAATCTTTTGGGTTTGGCTACGTACAATTAAAATTATTCCGTATTTTTCTCCGGGCCGGTTTTGTCTTTTCGGATGAAAATATACGTCATTTTTGACGTCACTGCTGCAGCAGACGTATTGGGTGTTTGGAAAAGGCAAATGATCTCCTAACAATATTATTTTAAAGACTTTTGATTCATATTGTTTCAATATCATTTCATTATGGTGCGTATGAACTTTCTATATAATATTCTTATTACTTCAGTACTTGCATGCATTTCGTAAACCTAACGTTCGTAATCTGTAAGTAAGTTTGGATAAAATTTGTTTCTAAATGAATGTAAACATTATAGTTGAGCTAAAGGCATTACTACTTTTTAAAACTTGAATTTGTTTTCGTTTTGTTACATACTGATATGAAAGTGAAAGTAGAAACCTTGTATGTCAGTTGGCGTTATGTATGTTGAGATCGTTATTATTATTCTTCAACTTAATGACAAATGTTTGTATTTATGGCCTATATATGCATTCGGCAACTTGAGTTCAGTGTCACAGTGCTGTTTTTTTTTTTTCAGTCCAAAGAGCCCCAAGCTGATAAGACTGGAGATTGATCCTGAAGCTGATTTGACAGACGATTGCATCATCACAATATTGAAGGTAAAAATAAATACTTGCAATAAAAAATCAAAGTATCTGTAATGTCTCTTTATGACAAAATATTTCTTTATTATTTTTTTTTGGTTCTTTTACAATTCTATATTGTTTGCATGGCTTCATCAAAAATAAATTCAACTCAACTCAATATACTCTAGAAATTTTATTCTGCATTATAATTTTAATCCAGTGCACTTAAAATATGCAAAGTATGAATAGATTTTGCTGGCTGTAAAAGCTATGAAGCTATATAGTATACAATAACTTTGTGGGGAGCGGGTCAGGGGAGATATATTGGATTTTTGAATTTCAACTAAAAACTTATAACTGTGACATCCAACTTTAAAGGTATAAATACATGTGCATGTGTGTTGAAAGAACATCAGCTAGCTAATCCATTGAATATTTACATCTATGTATTCATTGGCTGACAATTATTTTTCCCCCAACACTAGTGAATGGTGCGCATGCCTATAGTTTCGGGTTAAATGTTAAGATATATTTAAGACTATATAGAGAACCTACAAACTTGTACTCTCTCTTTTCAATAGTTTAAGTTTTAATTAAATGTATTCTTAAAAGATATCTACTGTGTGAGACTGTGAGTATTTGTCTTACAGGTTCAATATACATGCAGTCAGCCTCTCATAAGATAAAGAACAAATCCCAAGATCCAAGGCTTGCTTCAAAGTTAAGGTAACTACACACTGTTAAATGAACTTTGTTATAGTCTTCCCAAAAGTTTGGGATATCTTGGAATCACAATGTCTGTTTTTCTGCCTGTCTACTTGTCTGTAGTATTTTTTGTCTAAAAATAATATACATGTATTTGTATCAGAATCTTCTTAATTTTTTGACAATCTGAATTAATATATACTGTTTGAACATTCCAAATTTAATTGTCAAAATAACAAAAAATTGCTTTTTATGATTTTATTATGAAGCATATCTTTCAATAGTGTAATTGTTTTGCAAATTACATCATAGGATTCCTCAAAACACCTAGTATAACATATATAATGTTAGTTTTAACTTGTATCATACATGTATCTGTGTCAGTGAATTGGGCATACATTTGTTTGCTGATTATACCTAAGTAACTTTTATAACTCATAGAATTTAAGAATTATTTTATTTTTACTTTTGAAATTTTTATAGAGACCATTCTGTGCCACAAAGAAATTGTTCAGGAAGAGGAGAAGTGGTGGATATTCATTTTTGGTACGGTACAGTTCAAAGAGATTTTCAAAAAAAGGGAGGACAACTGAAAAAATTGAAAGATACAGAAGGAAAAAGAACAAGGAAATATATGGAATAATTATGAAATGGGGAGGATGTACACAATCTTGTCTGAATTTGAGCTGTGAAAATTTCCCATATTCTTATTGTATGCTGGAATAATCAATAACTTGATTTTTCATAAATTTACAATAGAGAATACATGACAAATGTTATTGCTGACATTTCAATTTTGCTTTGGACACTTTCATATCATATGGTATTTTTATACATGAACTAATTATGTTATTCATTTGTACATGTACAGTATACATGTTTAACTACTAAATCATTTTGCTGAAATCTTATAATTTGTACTCATGTTAGAATATGTTAAATACATGTATCAACAAATGCTACTGACTTGTTTGTATATTTTCTTGTTAGAATGTACACTGTGAAAAATAAGTTATTTCTCTTGATGAAAATAATTTTATCAAAAAAGTTGTGTAAGCATTTTAAGATATTTTAAAATATTTAACCAATGAAGATAGATCATTGTAATGTAATGAATTTTCATCTAAAGCAGAAATATCTGATTTTTAAATGTGTACAAGAATGTGAAAAATATTGAAAAAGAACACACAAGTGTTTCATATGATTTACATTTGATGTCCTTTTCATATGATTCTCATATGTAAATGGCTTGAAACACACATAAGTGTTTCATATGATTTACATATGACACCCTTTTCATATGATTCTCATATGTAAATGGCTTGAAACACACTTAAATCATTCATATGAAAATCATATGTAGTTATTTTCATATGATTCATATATGTGGATCATATGTAAATCATATGATTTGCTTCATATGATTCACATATGATGCCCTTTTTCTATGATTCTCATATGAAACCAATCATATGAGAATCATATGATACTCATATGAGAATCATATGTGGCTAAGTTGCCTGTGTACATTGACACAGATCAAAATCATAACATGACATTTCTTGTTTTAAAAAACTGCGTTTGTTTGTATCTTCTTTTCTGCTTTTAAATTGATATATTTCAATTGTTGTAACATTTGAAGTTTACGCTTGGTGACGCTCAAAAACCAAGGGATGGATGAACTGTATTTTTCAAACATTTGATGGCGAAGTACAAGTACATGTATCAGCTTAATGCACGGCCATTGTTTAGATATGGTGTACATGCATAGTTCTAAGCCTTATTTACTCAGTTTACATAGAAAATTCACTTATCTTTATAATATATGTGCATATGAAGATGTCATTAGGATTTAAATCAAGACATTTCCATCACATGCTTATATTTAAGACACTTGAACCACAATCTGTTATTTTCTGAATATTACAAATACATATCTTACATGACTATTTCAGGCTTGCAATACAACTTTGAAAATGTTTTCGAACATGATGCTAAACATATACTGTGAAAAGATTTTCAACGACTGACATTATTCATACCCGTATATCCTTCAATAAAATTACAGGAGCTAATACTGCAGTGGCAGGTCTTTGTACATTTATAACCAAAATGTGGATAAAGACACGGATGACTACAGTTTTCTCCGTACAGTCCTGGAGAACAATCTAAGAGAAGGAAAAATCATTAAAGTTTTTTTTTTCTGTTCAAAAATGGTGTTATTCGATTGCATTATAGTTTTATTTTCTTGTAGGAATATTTATTTGTTGTGCTTATACTTGAAAATAAAGTTGGGTTGTTAGGGGATGTATCTTACCGATACACTCTCCAAGTTCCAAATCCCAAATTGTGTTCGGACAACATCTCTTGTAGAAAATATCCCTGCATGTACATACTCCTATATGCAATAGGTTTTCATAATACTGAATTAATTTGAAAATTTCTTAAGCATTTTTTTTTTATAAAAATAGTTTAATCGTACTCAGAACATCGACCATCGGCAGAAATACCGGAAAAAATAAAAACTGAAATGGCTGCTGTTATAAATCAAACTTTTTCAAGAATCTCCATGCCGCTTTCATGTCCAAAATACCATTTCATTTTTTGTATCTATTTTCCAACTGGCATTCATAATTAATTACAATACCAATATGTTTAAACTGCCCTATTTTAATTTTTGGAAAAAAAATGTTCTTCCGCAATTTTTCCAAGACTTTTAAAATATCTTTGGTATTTAATGTATATACATCCAAAATTTTGTCAAAAAGGCATTTCATTTTTAACTGACGTTTATATCAATGGGTGTGAAAACATTGTCAGGGAACTCTATCAGTCTTTTTTTTCTTAGTTCACATGCCATTTTATTATTTTTTTCTTATTCGATAATCCTACCCGTATGGTACCTAAATAATTTAAAGCTTTTAAATTTTTTTTTTTTTAAATAAGAAATCATTCATTATATAAGTATAATTTTTTGCATGATAGTGAGGAAAGTATGAAGATTTATTTAGCCAAGACAAATCATATTCCCCAATGGATTTCTTGGCTGAATAAATCTCCATTATCTCCTATATTCGTGCAACAAATTGTTTATTATACCCCGGTTGGAGCAATAAATTTGATGCTGTTTTTTAGGATAGCAATGAAGGTCGAGGAAAAACTTAGATCATGATAAAGAATTCAAGTTTCCATGATCTACGTATGAATATTGGAAAAAGTCAAAATTTTTATGATACAACAGCGCTATTTCAGTGATGCTTGGTATAGAAAAGAACAGAATGACAAGATAGAGAGATATCAGAACTACATGTATATAATGATATGATAGCGATTTCATGCTGTGAAGATGACAAGTACACAATGACGCAATTACGCAAAAACAACAAAGTGACACCAAAATTCTATTTAATTAACATCGTCCTCACATTGTTTCCCCCTTTACAAGTTTGCAATGGAATATCTTAAGATTACATATCCGAATTTTCTCTCAATAAATGCACTTTTTTTTAAAATGCACTGTTCTTTCTATAAAATCTTTATTAGTTCAAAAGTATCCTGTACTGATCTTACCACCTTCATTTTCTTTCTTGTGTAAAGGTTTTATTGTTTATTATTCGATATATAAAATCGGTCGCTATAGAAGGAACATAGTTAGTTTCCGTGAAAATCGTAAGAGATGTATGATGACATATTTTTTTTCTTTCAAAAATGCACAGATTTGACAGCAAGAAATTCCACCATGCTTAAATATATCATATTTGTTGGGAGGGGGGGTATAAATTGACTACTTTTTATGCTTCTAATTTGTTTCTCAGAAAAATGAATACAGTGCGTTTCTGGAAACTCTCTGTTATCATGATGTTAGGAACAGATAAGGAAATAAAGCTTCAGAAATGTTGATAAAATTGAACAAATCAGAACGGAAACTGTACCTTAATTTGATATCTATAACATCGTACATTAAATCATAGAAATCAAACAAAAAAAATAATAGGAGATGACTTGGGAAATACTTTTTCGCACTTCCATAACCCATCTCTGGCATTCAAATTACAACTTCCTACCTATATTCATATACATTGCCATTGTCGATTTTATTTGTGCGCATTCTTCATCAATATTAAGATATAAAGGAGAAATAATCCCTACTCCTTTTTGTAATATCTCACTGAATGACTATTCATGAAACGACAGGTTAAGTATCATAGAGAATTATTCGAGGCAACGATTTTTGATATACGAGAAAATGTCTGCGAAGCGTAAACATGCGAAAAATATCATACTCCGTGAAGAAAGTTTTCTCTTTTTTTATCTTGTGATACATTGATACAAAAAAAAATATTTTGTGTGCAAGAAAAAACACTTTATTTTATCCTTATGTCCTGTTGTAAAAAGAACTATACTGCTTGTATCCAAACAATCGTATCTATTTCACTCAGCGTTTACTCTAAGTCAGTGATTGATCTTACACAGAACGTAATAGTAATATTATTTTTGTCCCCCGCTTGAAAAGTGGTGGATATTAATTTGGGTTTAATTGTCCGTCCGTCCATCTCACTGTCTGTCTGTAAACAATTTTTCGAAATGCTACTGCTCCTACAGTTTTGGTCTGACTTCACTATAACTTGTACCACTATGATACATAATTCTGTTTATCAGTTTTTTTGTTTTCGATGTACGATGTTGCCGTGGTTACTAAAAATAGAAGTTTCTGTGAAATACTTTTAGACTGCTACTCCAAGTATAGTTTGAGTCTAATTTTAATATAATTTGGCACACAAGTATATGTAGATTAAACTGGTATATATTATTATGTATATATATTTTTTTTAATTTCGACGAACGGTACTAAAAAAAAATTCTGATAAATACATTTTGAATGCAACTTCTCCTTCAGTATTGGCAAGATTACAACATAACTTGGCACACGTACAAGTAGACATTACTAAGATTATAAAATTCTGTTTATCGGGTTTTAATTTCGATCTAAGATGTTGCCGTGGTTACAAAAAATAGAAATTTCTGTGAAATACTTTTAAAATGCTACTTTAAATATAGTTTGGGTCTGATTACAATTTTGATCTTTCTTTGAATCAAATATATATATATATATATATATATATACGAGGGCTGTTCAATAAATAATGCCCTCAGTGCTCAGAAAGAAGCAAAATACGCTTTTCAATGATTAATCTTCATTATTTTACTAAATAATCTCTTTTAAGTAAAATATATGTCCGTAACATTTTCTAACCAATTTTATGGAAGGGAATTACCGCCAAAAGTCTATGTATCTTGCTTTTATTCTTATTCTGCATACTTCTTTATGCTTTGTTATTATTGTAATTATATGTCACTTTATTGTTTCCATATTCGTCTTTATTACATTTCACTTTGACTTTTATCATTCTTCATTTTGTCTTTACTTCTATGTTGCTTTATTCTTGTAAATTCATTTTACTTTCTTTTAAACTTAAAACAGTTTCTTTAATAAATTATTAGCATTATCTCTACTACGAACGCTAACTCAATCACGCAAACAATGAAGCATATTCAATGAAGACGAATACAAGTTGTCCGAATTTAGTGCCGCATTATAACGCTAGGTGGCAGGGGTGTTCGCTAAGAGTGTTGGTAAAATAAGGTAAGCAAACCCGTGCCGGAATTATTCGAGTTTTTTTCTTCAATTTTCTGCCTTAATACTTTATTAATCAAACTTAACTTTTTAAAAGACTGATGTTTGTTATAAGTCCAGGTATGTAGATAGTAAGATTTCTTCTGGAAGACTGACTACATATTGATGCTTCC